AATGTTATAAAGCTGTTTATCCTTCACCAAACCATGATGGCTAACATTCTGTTTAGCTGATTGTGTGGCAGTCTTCAGTACTTACCTCTAAGCCATGAGGATGCCTCTGTGTGACCTGTGCAGTGATATGTTCTCACATAAGCCTTCACATATATTTCTTCTTATTTCAGTCTTTAAGATCTTGATCCTATAGAACAACGTGGATAGTGTTTCTAAATGTAGTGTTACAACAATAGTTTTTTTTATAACAGCAACTTTGAGATCAGTAAGCAAATTGTGACCATCATAACCGTTTCATCTTCTAGAGACCCTTACTATAAATATGTGACACTAGATCAGAACACAAGAATTCTTAACCTTGTACTATCAGAGAGAGATGGTTTTCCTATTCTAACTATGCAGCTATAGAAGATGAATTATTTATACTGACTGCTACAAAATCTATTACCTTCTCAAACTATAAACACGGAAACTTACCTGAAGTTTTAAAGTTGTTATTGGCTACAATTGCAGAAAACCGTTGTTTATTATAGTCAGGGCAAACACTCACCTCCTTTCTTTCATCCTGGGAACTCCCCCAAGTCTTCACTTCTTATCCATTCCAATCTTTGAGTGTCTTTCATTTAGGTGATAGAGAACTCTGACTCTTTGGGACCGGAAAAAAAATCACCTTTTTTTTTTTTTAACTGGGCTGGTTCATTTTTTGTGTGTCTGCTTCTTCTTACTGTCTTTCAGGTTGGGAGATTAAGAACTAGACACAGAATTTCAGCAAAGGCTCTGCAGGCTCAGCTGTAGCCAAATAACTGCATGTTGATAGCCTGAAACTTAGGCTGAAGTGGTTTTCTAGACAGCAAGATGTGTGCTTTCATGGTTCATAGACTTGTGTGACCTTTGCACGCTGAGTGGGAATTCTGCTGGTACATTTAGGGAGGAGAGGCATGGATCTCTATGTACTTGCTCTGCTCTACTCAGTTCTCGGCAGCAACCTTAAAGGCCTGCAGGAAACATTGTGGGCATTGGAGAATATATGGCTCCTCTTCCCTTTGAGCTTCTCTGTATGTGCAGTGTTCCTTCCAGTGGTCGGTTTAGCCTGTGTACACTACTTAGGGCTTCTGAGTGTTGGACAGACAGTGTCCCCAGTTCAGCCTGGGTTCTGTGCTAGCAGCTCAGCAAAGGTGCTTGTCTACAGCCTGTTTCCATTCTGTAGTTTCCAGATAGCCCCATGTCAGAGGGGCAGGCCTCACCTTCCCTTACCAACCGCCAGCAGAGATAATGGCCTTCCCACCCTTTGTTTTCAGGTTCTAATCTCACTCCCCTTTCTGTGTGACCACATACTTTTCAGGGATGCGCTGTCACTGGCAACTTTTGCAGTGTTAAGGAGCTGGACGAGAATTGGAAGTTCATATCTTGGGCAGTTACTGAGCTCTGTGGCTGGGCCAGGATGCCTGTCAAAGGGCCTGGAGACTAGAGGAGAGGAAGGGACTCTCTGCAGGAGCTTGTACCACCACCACACAGCTTCCATGTACCAAGATAGATGTGTGTGCATTGGAAGATGTATTGGGGAAAGGGATTAATTGTAGGCCAAGGACAGGGAAGATTGGCAATATGCCATCTTTTCAAGAAGCTTAATTAATATAAAATGTAGGGACGTGACACCTCTAATTTTTCCTCATCGCTTTACCACATGAACATGTTTTTGCCATTCTTTGCCCTCTGCTAAAGGAATGCTTCGAGAAAAAGGAGCCAACTTGAGGTTGCAGGGATTGGATGCGTATATAAACTACAAACTCAGGACAAGGTTCTGTCCTTCTTGTACAAGTTTTAGAAGCAGAGACCAATGTGTGGACATTAGGAATTATTTTATTCTATCTGCAGCAATATAGTTGTAGATACTATAAAAATGCATAGATAGAGGACATCCAGGTCACTTACGAGATCTTAACTTAGCTTTCAGTAGGCAAACCCTATCTATTTTAGTTTTAAATACATGCTCATAAATTGTTTAAAACCAAAGGAAATATCACTTTTCAAGGTTAGATTGATATGTAAAGTTCATTAAACAGACAACAACAAAAACAAAAAAAGTCCCCAGCTACAGAGAAAAACTGATAACTCTTGGCTTTCCCACAACAGCATTCCAACCCCATTATGTAGATACACTTGAAGTCTTGTTCTTTGTAAAATTTAAGCGATATTCATTGTAAAGTACAAATGCTTTGGCTTTTAACCAGGGAGTCCTTAAAGACGGTCACCACTCTGGTGCATGGGGAGTGGGAACTTCCTGTGCAAGTGAATTTGTTTTGAGGGGCTCTAATTATTTCAGGTGGTCAGAAATGAAGCAACCGCACAATAATAGCCCCAAAGAGAAAGACATAAAGTCTCCCAGTTCTCTAAAAAGTACACAAAAGAGAATAGTTTTGGTAGTGTTTCTACGCAAATGCCTAAGCAGACTTGCATTTGTATCAGTTGTGTGTGCACAGAAATTAATTTGTAATTCTGGTCATCTAGTTGCCTCCGTACTTAACAGCAACTGTGACCTTTTACATTGGAGAAAGGGTCTATGTCTCCTCCTCACCGAACAGCACCAGGACGGGTAGAGAATAATTATCAAAAGATTTAGGGCACTCGGGTTTTCATGTGAAGCCTTGGCTCTGCTTGAGCCTTCCTGGGACAGAATATTTTAGCTTGACGGCCTCGGCTGGTAACATTCTCCGGGTTTTGAATAAAACTGAGAATTCGTGCTCGGATCCCAGTTTGGCCAGATGCCTCTGCCAGTGTTTGTGTCCCAGTATCCTGGGCAGTGCCGGGACCCTTGAAGACCCAGCCTGATCATTTCCGTGACACTCAGCTCTTAGACGCTCGCTTGTCTGCTTGCTTTCCTGTGGCTTAGAATTTTAAACTAGCTTCGAACATGCCTCATATTCAGCCCATAGTGTTCATGTTTACTGTTTCTCTTAAGGTAGCACGAGGGAACAAATGTTTTAGACAAAAAGTGAACGCAAAGATAACTTACTATATGGCTAAAAAATGTTTGGGGATCATTATCCCTGTTTTCTTCAATATAAATTAATAGTTTAATCCCATTATCGATTGTGTATCTAAGTTAATTAACAGGAAAGATGCTTTCCACTGCTTTATGGAGAAGCATTAGTTATAAAGATGTCACACCTACAAGAACAATTTATCTAAACTATCATAAGAGAATTACATTTGTTTGTATGGATTTAAAGAACATGTTGTTTGGTAAAATTTTATCTGTTTGTTTCATTATGATCAAAAGGAACTTAACTAAAATAAATTCAGATATTTTGCTTTAATGTTATGTAACCAATGGTTTAAGTTTTTCTAGAATAAAAATAATGATGGTGTGACTCCTCGAAACAAATATTTTTGAAGTGTTTCACCTGTAAATTTTAATGAAAAAAATTATAGGATCTTATAAAAAAGGTATTTAGCTATAATTTTAGAGTGTCTATTGTAATACTAGTTTCTGTCATTAGAATTTCAAATGTGATCTCACTATAAGTTTGTGGGACAGGCTTGATCTCTGCCTTTGCAGTTTATTCTGAAAGGGCTCTTGTACAGGCTTTTGAGACACCAGGATTTTTGGTTTTGTCTATCGTAACAAACGACAAATGGCAATTGTCACGGTGTGATAAAAGCTCTTGTGCTAGAGTTAAATTTTAAAAATCAACCCTTTTATCACTTCTGTTCTTTTCATTTTTGACCCAACAGATTTTTTTGTTGTATTTACTAGGTTATTGCCTGAAAAGTCTAAATGAGACATAGCCCTTGTAGTGCTCTCTTATGATTGAGATACTTACTGTCTGAAAGTAGGAGTCTTGGAACATCACAGGTTAGCATCTCAGGTGAGAGGTCCCTGGGAGTCCCACTTCTTTGGGCAGTCTGTCCAGGAAAGAGAAGGGACACTATAGCGAGGCCCCAATGTCTCAAATCTTTCTCTTTGGTCACAGTTACATGCTGTAACTCTTGGTTGTGTATGGGCTTATTGATGAAATGCAGGCAGATTAAAGACAACTGATTGTAAACCTATGACATCCAGGTAAAGCTAGGATCTACCTTTCCACAGATAGGGCGGTTTTTAATTTTTTTCTTCAAATAAGTATGTCTGTTGGCCTAAGTGTCTGGAAATGCTTTATTAGCTTTGAGATGTGCACCTCAGTTTTCATCTTTTCTCCCAGACATATAAGCTACACTTGCTTCTAATTCTGTGAAATTCTTTTGAAAGTTCATTTTATCTCATTATGAAAGTAAATGTTATTTTAAACTATCCTACTTAGAAATTAACTTAATGGAAAGATTTTTTTTTAGTTCAAAACTTATGTTTTTGTTTCATTTTTTAAAAAGAAATCACTTCAATTCTGCAAAGGTTTACCAGATTCTGCTTTTACTAACTTACTTTTGGGGTTCCCAGATGCCAACCGCAACAAGAAAACGTTTGTCCTCTGGAGGAAGCTCAGGCCCCTAGAAAGCCTTGTCTGGGATACTTGTTACTTCTAGCACATGCACTAGAACATCAGAACTTTGGAATTAAGTTGTGTGAGTGTGCAGTCTGTGCTGCTGTCTGGGGTTTTCCATACCGACTTTAAAATATGTCCTTTGTTATGAGCGGAATGACACTTCAGATGTGTGCAATGGCGGATGGAGCCGTCCGTAGTCCGACTTCGGTATATGGGTTATAAGGAGCTGAGTGTGGAGTCACCTTTCCATTGGAGAATGGTTCTGAAGAGCTTCAATTACTGACCTAGCATAGAGGAAACTACGAAAGGCGTAAACAAAACTGGGCACCCGTGCTGGAGGCTCATGCGCCTGCCCCTACTCCGTTTCTTTTCCCTCTCTTCATTCATGGTGTCATTTTTCTGACCTTTTCATTCTTGGTTTACAGGCTGAGACCTTTTGAGAGAGTCTGGCACTTTCTCTGATCCACTTTCTCTCACAGATCCTGTAATTTTGGCTGTATTTTTTTTTATGTTTTTCAGATTCAAGTCAATCTGAAAGTCCCAGCCAGCCAAGTGATGCTGACGTCAAGGACCAGCCAGAAAATGGTAAGTTTAGCATGGGACTCTGGCTACTATATCCGAGTGCAAAGGAGACTTCAGAGCCCTGTCTGTCCTGTGAGCACACAGGGCAAGAACTCAGGATTTGAAGAGAAAGTTCCAGAGGCATCCCAGCAGCCTCAGCCCCACCCTGATCCTTGTCCTCCATGAGGATCCTAACCAGGACATTTAATTCTCAAGAATGTGAGAGGAGGGTTGGATTCACCAGGGCACATCCTTGGACAGCGTGAAAGAGGGATCCCAATCTTCTCATGTCACTTTATAGCAGATCTCTTCAAAGTGGGAAACGGCCAAAGGTGTTTGCTCATTGAATATTATGGGAGGACATGCAGTCTTCCAGATAATGTAGATCTTAACTCTTGGAAAATGGCCTTAAGAAAGCACCATATCTTTGAAAGATTTTTCCCTTTAAGTTGTCTAAAATAAAATAGAGAGAGAACATGAAATCCCTCAGTTGTATAAACAAAGTAATCTCACTCACTGTCCTTCCCTTCTCTCTTTCCCTGCTTGCTGTACTGGGGATTGAACCCAGAGCCCCTGCAAGCTGGGCAGGTCCTCTGCCACTGAGCCCCATCTCAGATTCTATGTGAAGTTACTGTTACAGAGACCTTTCTAAGATACAGTCTACACTTTTACGTATAAGAATAGCTTGTGAAATGTTCAAAATGTGTGGTGCAGAGTGCAAGGATGAGAAACATAGTCATAGATTTGAATATTAGATTGAGCAAAACCAGTCATCTAACAAAAATGGATGTGTAAACTAAGGCTCTATCATAGGTCAATGTATAGATGTCTTTTAAAATCCTCAAATCTAAGACTAACCTCTCTGATATTAAAATGATTACTTAGCCTCTCGGGGCATACATTTATTTATCTGAAACAAGGATATTATTACCCTGGTGAAAATTAAGTAAGGTAATACACTTAACAAACTTACCACAGGCCTTTTCAATGACTTTATACTAAATAAATAAAAATGCTAATAATGGTTCCGGACTTTTCCTCCATTCTCCTTGCCTGTATGACGCTATCATTCTGTTTTTCATCTCCTGCTCTGTGGATGAGATCCTTCTCCTCTTCCTCCTCCTCTCCTGTGCTTCCATTTTCCCATCTTGATCCCCAGCTGATTACCTGGGAAGGATAGGTAAACTGAGCTACTTGGTCTGGTGTGATGGAGGGCTCACCTTACCCCATTAGAAATCCTATCACCAACTGTTCAGAACACTTTCTGTTTTGTTAGCCCTGGAAAGCCTTCATTTTAATTCTCCACTGAGGCCTTAAATGGGAACTGATAATCCCCATTCTTATTCTGGTATTTTGTTGAAATTTTCTTTATCAAAGTTCCCCCACACACACACACACAGACACATGAGGTAGTTAAGATAAAAAAGAGAGACCTCTGAAGACTAGTTTTTGTGTCAAACAGCTGCATAGTATCCTTTTGTTGGCAATCTATACAGCAATATTTATAGACTTTTTTCTTTATTTTTTGGCCTGACTGGTGATGTCTTAAATGTCCTGTTTTTCATAAAATATATTTGGATTAATCTTCCTGAAGATGTGCCCAGAGATACATTATTTTTATCTTAGAAACAGGTAAGCTATAGGGTGTGTAGCTCACATATGGAGGTCTGGATACTCCTCCAGCAGGTCTGTCTTCATTCATCTGTCTTCATAAAATGGCCGGCAAGCTGTTCACATGCAAATATAAACCAAGCGGGGAGAGGCCTGGCACACTTCTCTGGAGCTGCCTGTAATACCAATATTGTGCATTTCCCGGCCAAAACTCAGCCCACAACTCAGCCCAGGGTTTCGGCCAAAGACATAGGGAGGCTGGCCAAGCTCACTTTCAACTGGGATGACTTGGTGCTACCTCAAGGATTCTTGAGTGGGAGTTCAAAGAAAGGAGGTGTTTGTATCCAGGAGATAAAGCAACAAATTCCCACCTTTCAAACTTCAGTGTATTTTTGTTGAAGAAGAAGCCCTTGTGTCTTAGACATCTCTACTGGAAAAGGTCAGACCACTCCTTTCCACTGTCTGCTGTTTGTCAGCCTCAGGTGACGTTACTGGAAATGTGATATTTCCTCCATTAAAGACACAGAATCACAGCGGGAATGAAGGAAGACTTTAGGGCAAGGTACTCACATGCACTAGGTAGCCTGTTCTCTGTGTTGCCTTTGTTGACTGTGTGTCCTTCTTCAGTGCCCCAGACTATGAACGTGAACATGAGTTCCTGACTAGTATCTGGTTTCATTTTGAAAGGAGAAACTCTCATTAGTGTATCAGCTAAGCTCTAGGAAGTTTTGGAATCTTGCTGTGTGACAGTGTGACAGTGTCTGTTCTTCAAATGAAGTAGGAACACATTGTTCCTTCCATATATATATAATCACAAGGGAAAACAGTCTTCTCATCGCTCCTGAGAAAGGTAATGGGAAGCAAATGGTATTTCCCAAGCAAACCATTGAGTGAACAGACAAATGGTAACATGCTGTTTCATCTACAGGAATCAACTAGGCCATGCAAACTTTACCTAAAGTGGATGCAGCTGTCTTCCCTCTGCAGTCAGTCTGCTGTGTTCTGTGGAGTTTCACTTTCTTTACTCCTATGCCCTGAAGACAACTGTGAGAAAACACAAATAGTAGATGGAAAATTTTTAAGGAATTATCTGGAGCCCAGAAATAAAATACCAACATTTCTGAAACTCAAAATTGATATAATCTAATGGTTAAAACTGCCTCTGGAGCCAGACAGACCTGTGTTCAAATTAAATAGTAGCTGGGTGGGTAAATGAGCTTCTTCCCTAAACTTAATTTTCTTGTAAGCATACTAGAAATACTAAAAGAAACCTACTACATGAATATCGGAATGAGAACATGGGTAGAAATAGTATAATGCCCCACTCATAGGAAGAGTCCAAAGTTTCCTCAGGTAAAGTTGGCCATAAACACCAGACACTAATCAAGTTTCCCAAGCTGGAGTCCTGGAGCAAAGGGGATATGGTCAGAAATAAACCAGGACTCCCAGGACCAACCTCTGTAGATATCTCTAAGATGTCTGCCACTAACTTCCTTCTTAAGACTCGGAATGTACATCTACCTTACTGTTTAGCTCTGTCCTCCTTCTGTTCATCTCCCATGGGCTTAAGCAATAGTGCATAGAAGAGGTGATTTGGAGTTGCTGGGGCCTCAGAGGGTGTGTGTTCCAGAAGGAGGTGTCCTAGAAAGAAGGGACTCTGCCAAGATTTCTTTAATGTTCACTAAGGTTTTTTTTTCCTTTTTTTTAAAGGGGGTATTGCATAAAACAAGTAGAATCTGCAAAATTGTGTAAATTGTATTGGGAATATAACTCAGTGTCAGGTCATTTGTTCAAGCCTCATGACCATAATAAAAAAAAAATAAAGAAAAGAAAGCAAAAGAAAAGCAAACCAAAATTAAACACCCCCCAAAACAAACAAACCAATAAAATCCTGTAAATTGATAATGGTAGAGTTCATAACAGACTCATTTTAAAAAGGTCTTTCACAGTACCTAACTCCTCACCTTGAACATATTGGATAAGGGTATTTATTTGCTTAATAAATAGAATTGGTATGTTGATAAAGGTGTTGCCATTACCCACTTTTTTTGCATATTTCTTCACTGTTTAGTTACCATAAAGGTTTTAGGGAAGAGGAGCTTCTCTGGAGAAGCTGAACATCTTGTTTGTGTGTGAGGAAAGACACATAGGCAGAAATACCTAGATTTAACCAGTTGTTTCTGGAGCCAGAGTTAGAGTGAATAGATAAAGCTTAGCTCCCCGAAAGTATGTATGGTTGGCATCAGGTATGTTTGATTGCTGTAGGGGATTCAGTGTAGATGAAGCCAATAATAACCTTACCCTGGTGATAATTTTTTTGATAGTGAGAATCCATGTTAGTATTGAGGTCACTCTTTGAGTTTAGTGGTGCTTGTTCCTGTCCAGCAACTATACCACGTTGCCACATCAAACCTCAGATGGGCCTGTGCAAGTAGGGAAAAGCCATTAATCATGACACTTGCCCCAGATTTTGAAATTATGCAACCCTACCTGCCAACTGCAATATTGACTCTGGATCTTTTTTATTTGTTAGTTTTTTTACTCTGGCTTTTATGTTGACTAATTTTATTTATTCCAGTCCCATCTTGAATTGTTAAATTCGGTATCACTGCTAAATGTTACTAGATGAACAAAGAATTGGCTGATCTTCACCATAATTGTTAGTATTTTATTAGTTATAATTTTCACTCATTTATGTGTATATTAAATATTTTAATATTTCCCAACCAAGTTGTAGGATACTGACTTCCTAGCTTAAGATTTATATGTAGGATGCATGTTGTAAGTTGGGGAGGGGGGCGTGAGTTAAGAAAACTGTAGGTTTCTATTTCTCTTTTGGACAAACTTTTTTAATTTGGTAAATGTTCTTTTAAAAAATCAACTTAGTATGTTCTTCTCTCTACTTCTCCCGCAAATATAATAGATGTGTTGCAATATTAAATCACAATGTTAAATAACACTGAAAAGGCAGAAAACTCAGTTATTTCAAACTGAATAAATTGTGACTGCTCATTGGACTTCTTTACATTAGAGGCTGGTTCTGATGAATGTGCCATTATTAGGTCATTTCAAGAACTATGAAGGCAACACACCCTTACAGCTTTCATTTAGCTGCCAAAGCAGGAGAGGTCTGGCACCATTGACTTGTAAAGACAGTCCACCAATATTTTATAATTTGCATGACTTTCTTTGACAATTACCTAGCAACAATTATTCTCTGCAGTGTTCTTCAAAGAACTCTGCAGGGACAGACACAGTAGAGTGACCACCAAAATAGCGTCAATAACGGTAATGATCAATATTCTAAAATATGTAAAGGCCCCAACTCGGGGAGACATTGCAGCCTAAATGCCTGCTGGTTTTCAGCTCTATGTGATTAAGTTTCGACTGATGGCTCTTCAGTAATGCGATGG